GCGGCGGGGGTGTCGGACAGGGCGGTGTGTCTCCCAGCGGGGGAGGAGGAGAGACCGGCGCTGAGACGCGCGTCCGGAAGTCCTCCGCTTACCCGTAAGTCTTGCGTCTGCCCTTTGTGCGCGCCCGAGCGATGCTGCGGGGATTCTGCCCTCACATCACCTCCCCCGATGAGGAGCTTGATTTCTTGTCACTTGACGAAAACGTGCAAACGTCAGTGTCAAATGCCTGTCACGCTGCGTGGACTGTCCGAAAAAGAATCCTTCAAGGCTCCGGCTGTCGTTTGTTGCTGGAGGGGCGCAAGTGGAGAGCGGAATGTCCAGCTGGCATGGTAGGAATGTGGAGCGGAATGACGGAGGTGGGGGTTGGGATGGGGGCACGAGTCATGATGAAGTCACGTCAAGTCTCAATGGAACTTATCGGGAGTGGGGCGGTCTGGTTTTGCGGTGACGATTGAAGACTTGTTGCAGTTGTGGTTTGCTGTTAAAAGTGCTTGAGGACGAAAGTTAGGATGAGGTTTCGAGAGTGCTAACCGAGCAGCCTTGGCTTGCCGACGACAGAACCGATTAAAGGCGCTTCGTGAAGCCTTTCACCACACCACATTTAATTAGGGCGAGCAATCAACATTTTATTTTCAAGAATATTCAACACTGGCATCACGGACGTCCGTAATAACCTGGACCGCCTCTCACAGCTGAAGCCAGAGGGCAGCCATCTTGCGTTGCCACGGCTACCGACAACTTCTTTTCAGCACTGGCTGCAAGCAGTGCTATCGCTGCGTGTTTTACTCCGAGATCCCCTGCGGGAGTCATGAGTGCCCCGCAAAGAACCGACTTCACCGGCGGCATCGACCTTTCAGCGCGGATGATCTCGGTATGGGGAATCGGGAATAATCGTGACGGGTTTACATTCAGTACCTCCGTCGAATCTCACCAGATCAATCAACTCACTTCAACATACGCAGGGTCCTAAACGGTAACGTCAGAGCAAGTTTAAACCGGATCTGATCCGGTTTCTGCATTTGGCAGCAATGTAAACATCACATGGAACAATAAAAATGGTTCAAACGTTTGTCCTCAATTGTCGTGTGTTCGAGCAATAGACAATCTGCATCCTATCCGCCTTGAATTTGGAGTCTGAATCCCCTCCGGATGGAAAGGCAACGCCATTCACGTGTAAACGCCACTTGGCCATCCTCATTTCGCAAGGCGACACGTTTGTGACTCTGCCGTGCCTTCGCTGACCTTCATTGCCCCTGCACACACACACACACACACACACACACACACACACACACACACGACTAATAACTGCGCCCTCTCGGAACTAAACACGCACTTGAAGGCACGATTACACAATGCGCTCGTGATTCGCCATCCTTTCCTCGTAATCTTTGCACTGCGAGGGCAGAGAGGAGGAAGGTGGTGCGTGTGTTGGAGGGGGTGGGGGGGGGGGCTGCGCACGCCGCAGGGTTGAGCTGCCCATCCTGAAATCATTTGTTCCTTTAAATATCCCAGCGGCGCGGCAGCGAACCGGAAAGTGACGTCATTAACATGAAGATCTCCGTCGCGGACTTGCGGCCGCGTGTTACGTAACGCCGCGCGCTGACACTCGCTTTGAAGGAACTTTTTTTTTTTTTTTTTTTTCCCCAGAGAACGGCTTTGTACACCTTGCCATTTTCTCCGTCAGCTTGATGCTTTTTTTTTTTTTTGACTTGCAATTGGAGCAAACCCAGCCAGACAATGATGAAGTGTACTGATATTCCATAAAGTTTTTTTTTTTTTAATTCCTTCCACTGTGGACACCTCCTCAGAGCGATGGCATGAAAGAAAAAAAATTACAAATAGAAATGAACATACTTAGGGGCAGGCAAAGAGTTGTTTGACAGAACTTTAGCCAGATGTGAAAATGTTCGCGGTACGGGAAAGCTAGCGACGCTACACATGAACCGACGAGAGGCTATCATTAGCGTAACCGCAATAGAAATAACAAAGCAGACAGACACCTTTCGATGCCCAACTCGCATCATAAGAAAATAACGAAGAAACAACCCAACAACATAAAATTCCTTGTCTCCGTTGCGGCCAGGTGCTTTTCGTCGATGTACAACTCCGTGACATCGAACAACGACAACGTACACGCGCCTTCATTTTCCTTGTTTTGGTTTGTGAAAACATCTGGAGGTCAAGGCGCCAAAATAAAAGCCCGTTGTAGACACAAAATACAACATAAAAACAAAGCACGGTAAGAACAGGGTTTGAACAGTAGAAAACAAAAACGTGTCAAAGGTTTTTTTTTGAGTTTGCAGCTGCGCGTGAGCAACACGTCATCGCTTGAATGACTTGACCTCTTCGTTTGGATTTGAAGGCGTTTCCAAAGTTTGGGCCGCTGCCGTGTCGACGACTGTTCGATTCCGACATTCCTGCCTCACTGAAAGTTGAACTTTGTTGTTGGGTGATGCAAGCCCCCCCCCCTGCTCCTCACTCCCCTTCGTGGCTTCGCAGGCAGTCAGGGTGCGTGATGGGAGGAGGGGCTTCCTGTGGATGCACTGCGTGAGTGTGTTTGTGTTGCGCTGGGGTGGGGGGGGGGTCAGAGAGGGGTCCACGGGGGTAGGAAGTTGTGGGCGCTCAGGTTTCGTGACAGTGATTCAATCGGAGACCTCCGGGACTGACACACTTCACACTGCTCACTGTCGGTACGTGTGTGTGTGTGTGTGTGTGTGTGTGTGTGTGTGTGTGTGTGTGTTGATGTGTCCTGACGATGATGAAGTCTTCTGTTTTTCAGCCTCCGGGCACCAAAACAGGAAGTAGGAAGCCGGAAGTCGTCGGATCCCATTTCCTGCTGTCAATCGTATGCTTGCGCACGCGCGTGTTGTATGTCGGCCGATGTTTCAAGAATGGCTGAGTTGTCAATGGGCGTATTTGGGCACCGCTGGGCTTTGGGCCATTTTGACGAGCAAAAAAAAAAAAAGCAGCTTCCTGTGCCGAGGGAAGCCAAAATGACGTCGCCCAACTTTGGGCGCCGGGAGCAGCCCCCACCCAAAGCATTTGAATGTTTTTCCTCATTGGAAGGAAGTTGGAAGCTCCTCCAGTTAACCAGTGGGGGGCGGGGGGGGGGGGCTAATCTTCTTCCCACCTCCGTTTTTGTTGGGTCCAAAGTATGACACGTCCATTTTGGTCATCTGACAACTTGCCGCATATCGTGACCTGTTCTGGCGGAGCATTTTGTTTGGTGTGTTTGCGAGCCGCAGCAAACGCTTGAGCGCTTGTGACAGTC